CTCGCTCTTCTGCAAAACCTTGCTTTGTCCAGCAGCCTTGTGACATGGTCAGTGACCTGGATCCTGGGTGGGAGATCATCCCGTGGCATTGGGGTAACTGGAGCACCATTGCCAAGGCTCGGTGGCCATCCCACCAGGACAAAGAAAGGAAATTTTCCAGGGTGGATAATCGCTCTGCGGGATCCGCGGCGCTGAGGACGGATCATCCCGCTCAAGTCACGCAAGCATAATCAGATTTCACGTGGCAGGACATAAGCTCGTTGCCACGGGGGCCCAGGAGGGGAGGTCCCCTCCAGAGTGCCACAGGTGGAGCAGGGAGGGATGGGGGACATCAGAGAGGGTGGATGAGCCCCTCACAGGGATACTCATCTCCACAGGGCCAGGCCGACAGCTGGGGTGAGAAGATCTCAAAACCAGCATGGCCCTAATTTAGGATGAACATCAGAGCCAGAAATTCCCATCTGCACAACAGGGATAGCCCTTCCTGGTCGTGGAGCAAGCTGTGAGGAGAATTAGAATAAAGAGCATGAAGCAGTCCCTCTCTGGAACATTGGGGCCATAAAACCCCCAGGCTGAGAAGCTCTGCCATCTCAGCCATGGAAACTGGAAATGTTGATTAGCTTGGGATGGAGGCCCAGAGATTTGAGCCACTGCTTATCCTTGGCTCTTCCCTCCTTTCCATTCTGCTTGGATCAGCATGCTTGCCCCCAGCAGCTCATCAATCAAACCAGGTTAGGGTCATCTTTTGCCAGAAGCTGTATCCTTTCTTCAGATAAAGAATATCCAGATATCTCTGCTCTTGCCCAAGCCAACAGCCAAGTCTCTGAATCACATGATTTGTCAGCTGGACATGGTTCTGTGCATGGAAAAGCTGGAGACAAGGAACCCAGACAAAAGCAGGTCCTGGAATAGGAGGGCAGCTCAGGGACTGAAGGTCTCAAAGAAGCATGGAAACTGAAGGTGCTGGTGGCCTCAGGAGCATTCCCTTCACTCCAGCTCACCCACAGCACTGACACAAGGCTTCCTGTTTTTCAGAGAAGACAACACCTCAACTCTGAAAAACAGGGGTTACAGGTGGCATTGCCATGTGCATCTGTCTCATGTGTGCAAAAATCCACAGCAGATCAGGAGATCTGTAGCACATTCACAGACTTCAGCTTTCCAAAGGAGTCCTGACTCACTCTAAGGAGAGGCCTCTGTAACCATGTCTGGTAATTGCTTGTGCCCTTTTAAGGAATAGTTTCACTCAAAAAGATTACTTTCAGAAGCACGGAGCATTCCCAGCTCCTTTCCCTGGCTCAGGACCTTGTCAGAACCATCAGTGCTCTGCTCTGAAATCCTGGCAAGGAAGGTGAACAGCAACCTGGCTCCAGACTCTTCTCACTCCAGACCAGGATTGACCCTTGAGGATGAAGAGCAGGGAATAAAAGCCCTTAGTGCTGGGCAGACCTGCAATGGGTGGTTGAGATCTCCCCAAGGAATTCCCTCCCATCTCACTGCTAGGGATGGTCCCATCACCACTGTCCCCAGTTCTTCACCATGGGGGTAGACACCATCTCTTTAACCCAGTCTTGAGGTATTGCAGGAAGAATATGAGGAATGACACACTGAATTAAGCTTTCCTGGTGCTCCCAAAAGTGTGAGCCAGTTGCTTCAACCAATCAGCAAAACACAGAGAGGACTTAAATGCAGAACAGGGAGACAGTGCTTAGAAAAGAGAGAAGGGACTGAGTGAGAGGTACCAAAAGGAGCTTCATCAGCACAGATCTGAAATTCCTCCTCTGGGACAGAGAAGTTAAAGGTGCTCTGGATTTTGGGAAATACCTGCTGTGCCTCAAGGCTGCCAGGACCAGTGTGAGCAGGGAGCACAGGTCTCAGTGGCTTTACAACAGGGGCTGCTGAGGAGCCAGTGGGATCAAGGCTGTATCACCCCCAGCACTCCTTGCCCACAGCTGGTTTGAGGCAGAAGCTTCTCACATTGCCCAGCCAGGGCAGCAACAGCTGAAAAGGCCAGAGCACAGCCAGGGAGGTGGCTTGGGCTCCTGACAAGCTCATCCATCACTCGTGTGCCCATTCCCTTGCCACACTCCTGACCTCCCCAGCCAACACCACAGCAGTGGGAAGAGCCAGGGGCAGGCTGGGCTGTGCTTTCCTCCATCACTCAATGTTTTTTCAGCTCACTGAACACCAGTTTGCTCCCAGCCTGGCAAGATGCCCCAATTCCTGCATCCCTGGGTCTGTCCCAGCTGCAGGGGAGCCCAGCACAGGCAGAGCAGGGCTCCCAGGGAGTTAGCAGGCAGACAACAGCCAGCTGCCCATGCTGCACAAGGTTAAGCAGAAGCAGATGAAGACAAGTCATGAGAGCTGGGTGAGGGAGACACGGAGAAGCAGCCACAAGCCAGGACAATTCAGGACCTGAGCCAAAAAAAAAAAACCCAGGAGCTCAAGCAGAGTTGCTGTCTGAACTAAAATCTCATGCCAAGGCAGGGTCAGAGACTCACACCCTGCAAAGGCTATGGGGGAGTTTGCAAGAGTTTCCTCTCTGGGATGGGAGAGGAGGAGATGGGAAGGGTCTTCCTGGCCTCCCCTTCCCTGGCTTTCTGAGGGAGGCATCCTGAGTTACTCTGTTTTTAAAGCTTTTTGGGATTCATGACTCAATCATGACTATAAATAGGGCCAGGGCTCCATTCCACTAACATCTCATAGGTCAGAGGAGGTTTTCCCTGGGGATATGGAGGCAGGGAACAGCACCAGGCCACCAGCAGACTCCCTCCACATCCAAGTGGACTTGGGCACCTACAGAGTGAGCATGTAGGAGCAGAGAAACCCAAACTCTTGCCCTTTACTACAAGAGGCAGCTGGGAAGCAAAAACACCTCATGCCCTGGGTGTTGGGCAGCTGAAAGGAACCTTGCCCATGGCTGGAGCCATCCCTGTGGCTGCAGTAAAGCAGTGCCCACCCATGGCCCCTTGCTGCTCCTCCTCCTCCCTCAGCCCAGGACGACTATCGTGCTGCAGAAGATGAGAAGCAAACAAATAATAACCCTCAACCCCCCAAGCCCAAACTTACCAGCTCCCCTCATCCAAAAGAAGCACCATGCTGGACAGCACAGGACAGGACAGGACAGGACAGACAGCAAAGCCACTGGGTGGGGGGAAGGTTAGCAAAGAGAGGGAGGAGAAAAGCCCAGTCCCCATGCTGTACAGAGAGGGGAGCGAGCAGGCAGGCCAGGGTTGAGTGATGGCAATGCAGGGGGTGGGCAGGGACAGATGCCAATGGACAGCTCTCCCAAAATGCAACCTCCCCCAGCCCTGTCCACCCACCTATTTTTGGAGGGCTACTAATGGAGATGTTTGAAATAGGCCAAGGTCTGTCAACACAGCCATCAAACCTCTGCAGCTGCTTCCTGCCCTTGTGTGCTCCAGGGCTGTCATCACCAGCATTGTCTCATTCAAATTTCAAACTTCTGCACAGTTGGCCCTCAAGCCACAGCTGCATCCCACGTTCATTCAGGATGCCTTGTAGAGCACAGAAAGGTCTCTCCTCTCTGACATTCCCTAGAACCAGGGTCTGCCCTGCCTTGCTGAAATTCCAGGGTCCAAGCCCAGTTTTTTTCAGTGCCCCATAACCAGGAGGCACTCTGAACCCAGCTGGGGAGGAGGCAGGTTCCCAGTGCTCAATCACCACTAAGAAAAGGGCTGAGCTTGATATTTACAGCCACCCAATTCCCCTGGCATGAATTCTAATTTGCAGTTGAACTCCAGGCTTAAACCCAGTCTGCATTCAAACAGTGTCACCTCAACCCATCTGTGTGGCTGGCCAGGAGGTGAGAGGAGAGGATTGAGATGCAGGAGGAGAGTTTGTTCCTTGGATGGGTCACCTGGATGTGAGAAGTGAGTCCATTAGGCAGGGAAACTGGGCAGCTATCCCCATCTGGGATATCCCCATCTGGTCTGGGGGATGTCCTGCTCCATCCAGGAGTGCCCTGCCAGCAGCAGTTTGGTGCCATTCATCAGACCCTGTTCAATGGCTCTGCCATGGGGCAGCTTCTGCCTTTTCACCCCCACCTCTTCCTCAATCCCACACAGAGGAGAGACCTTTCTAGAGCCTGTCAGATGGGATCTGCTCTCCTTTGTCCCACCAACACTCCTAGCCCAGAGTGACAAGGAGAGAGCACAGAGAGCTCAACCCCCTGACAGCACTGAGGCCAAGCAAGGCTTGGCTGGGAGCTGCTTTGCCTCATGGAAAGAGAGAACTGAAAGCAGAGACCCAAGGGGGCCATTTCTCCCATTGTTTTCTCTTTTATAAGGAGTGGAGCTTTGCTGCAGCTGCCAACACTCAGCAGAGCCCTGACCATACTCATTTCTAACAGGAAAAATCCCCACTAACCTCTTTCAACCCCAAGGGAGGTTTGAAGAACATCTGGCAGAGAGCACTCCATGAGAGCCAGGCCCTGCAGGCACTGGGGGGTTCCTGCTCCCTCTGCACAGGAGAGGGACAGCAGCACCTCTCAGGCAGCCTGGCTGTGTCTCACACCCACACAGCTCAGCCCTGCCTGAGCAGGGGCAGCTGCACCACCAGCACTCACATTTCCTGAGCCCCAGCTGGCAACAGATGGCCAAAAGCCTCAGGTGCACAGGACAAGGATTTGGGAATAAGCTGTGCTGGCTGGACCAGGGGCTGCATCCTTCCCCTGCACTCTTCCCCTTCCTGCCCAGACTGTTTTTCTCCCCCAGGGGGGCAGAGGCTACGTGCTTCTGTTCCAGAAGGACTGGTGACCCACCTGGTGTGATCAAGCACAGCCACCACCCCAGCACAAGTATTTGCCAAAAGGATTTACTGTCCTCCTCCCTCAGTGAGCACTCTAATTTTTAAGGCTGAAGTCACCAAAAGCAGGAAGTTGCCTCACTCAGTGAAGGTCACATTCCTTCCCCTTTTAGTCCAGATTTAGCACCAGCTGGAAGCCACAAGATTCAAGTGAATTGTAGGCAGGACAACCACAGCTTCTGCAGGGATGCAGGTTAGAACAGAAGTTGGTTTTTTGCTTAAATAACCAAATCTATTGCATGCCTGTACTCTCCTGTCTGAAGTCTTACAGCTCCTTCTGGAACAGGCAAGGAATATTTTCAATGGCATCTCCAAAATCAAGGAGTCCCAAAATTCAAAGTTGTGGACTACACAGCAAGCAGCCTCCGAGAACCCACTTCTGGTCCTCCCAAAAAAGCATTTTTGGGTCCTTTTGGTCCTCCCAAAAAAGCATTTTTGGGATGTTTCTTCTTTCTGCTGCTTCACATGGGAACCTGTTGGTTCACAGGAAAGCTGAAGGAGTGACAGGACTAAAAGTGGACACTAAACCTATCTGAGTTTTGATAACACACCCCAATACTCTGCAGCAGCCCCAGTTTCCCAAATCAGTACAAAGTGGCTGTGGGATGTCCAGTTTCAGGCATCCAAGCTGGAAGAGGTGAGCATCCAAATGTGAGAGCCCCCATTTGCCCTGGAGTGCTCGTGGAAAGTGAGATGGAGGCAGAGAGGAGTGGACTCATTAATCTGTTATGAGGAGGGAAGGGGAAGGAGGTGGGGAGGGAGGTGGGACAGGCAACCAACTGCAGCTCCAAACAAGCCCTCCCCTGGAAAATAAAAGCAAAATCACCCAAAAGACACAAGCAGGTGTTACCAGTGGTACCACTACCTCTAAGCAGCAGCAGCAGTGTGTCCTTACCAAAAAGATTTGCAAGAATGTTTGTGGCCGAGGACCTAAGGTACTCGCTACAGAGATGTGAGATCAGAGGTCAGCTCAATCCTGCAACATAAAGGTGGCAAAGCCGGGTCACAGCAGGTCAGCAGCACTGGCAGGGCTCATGGAGAGGGGTGGAAGGGCAAGGAGGAGGATGCAGGACAAGGCTGAGCTGCTGTGCTCAGCTCTCCCAGCTTACCTGGCAGCAGCCCTGCCCCCTTGCACCACCTGCGAGGCCTGCAATGAAAAGCTGCTGATGCTGCAGTGAAGATTTGAGGGGGGGAAAGTAAGCCAGCAACAAAGCAAGACAAAAAAAAAAAAGTTCACCAAGCTGCCTTAAAGAAATGAACAACACAAATATGGAAGAGAAGAAAATAAAGGAGCAGTAGGAAAAACACATCTGGCAGTGGCTCTCAAGTGGGGAAGGTTGGTCAGAGCCTCCATGGGACATGAAACCCATCAGTTCAGGTGTACTGTGCTGCCCTGGGGCTGCTCCACACAGACAGAGCAGCCTGAGGTGCCTGGGCTGTGCCATGTGCCCAGGACAGGTCCATCACCCCTGGAGCCTGTTCTGAGTCCTGAGTTCTGAGTCCTTCCCCTCCCCTTCCTCACATGCAGGATTCAGCATCTGCTTCCCTCTATTTTCTGATCAATACTGCCCTTAAGGATTTTTCTCCTTGTGTCCAGTACCTTGATTTTGGGATTTCTCCAAGCCCAACAAAACCCCCATCCCACTGCTGTCCTTAGACAACGTCACCTCAGTGTCTCCAGGTGACAACAAGGCATTTTTTGTTTCAGGCCCAAGGCCCTGCAGGAGTCCTGGCCCTGCAAACCTGAGCAGTGATTGCTCAGCTTGGATGGAGCTGCTGGTGCAAAGGGTTGGAATTTGCCAGCTGCAGGTAGATTTTTGCATTGGTGCTTAGCAGGATCCTGAAAAGCAAATCCCATTTAGCCCCATGGATGTCCCCAGGATCCTGAAAAGCAAATCCCATCGAGCCCCATGGGTGTCCCTGGCATTCACCTGACTCATCCCCCCAGCACCCTCCCCAAGTGAGAAACGCAGTGACACTCACAGCCCTGCTCAGCAGTTACAGGGTGGGGGCTTCAGGCACAACAGACACATGGAAAAGAAGAAAGCAAACATTTTTGCCAATGCAGAATCAACCCCATGCCAGAGGAAACCAGAGCTCATTCCTGTTGCTGATCCCAGAGCAGGACAGGTCTCTGGATTTACTCTGCTTACCACAGTGCCCTGCTCACCTCACACAGATAAACCTCAGCCAGCATCACAGGGATGCTGCCCAAGAGCCTCAAGGCAGGGTTTGCCAGCAGGAGATGCCTGAGCTGGGAGTGAGCCGTGATCCCCCATCCCTGCCTTCCTTGCTGTGCTCAAGTTTCTGCTTGGTTCTTTACACCAGGCCAGCTGTGGTGGTACTTAAACCATGATTTGACAGGCAAGGGGTGACAAATGCCCCTAAATCACTTCCTGCAAACCTCTGGGTGGAGAATTGGGTCCCACAGCCCTTGGGACAGCAGTGGGGACAGCACCACCTCCCAGGCCTGTTGAGCCACCCCTGGGAAATCAGTTCCTTGGAGCTCACCCTCAGGGAAGGGGTGTGAGCTGCAGACGCCTGTGAGGGAGCAGCCTGCCACAGAGCCCTCAGCTGGGGGTTATTCCTTCTACAGGCTGGGGAATCTCGAGCCAGAACGCTGGTTTGAAGTGACAGGACAGGTCTGACCTTTCTTCATGCAGGCCTCAGGGGATACTTCAGCAAAAAGTGCAAGATGGACAATCCTCCATCTAGACCAGGCTCACCACTTGGTAAATCCCCACCACATCCAGCTGAGGAGACAGCCCTGGGCATGGACACTTGCAGTGCCAGCCCCATCTCAGTGAGCTCTAGAACCTTGTGCTCCCTCACTTTGCCGCAGTGTTTCTGAGCTGTGCCCATGCCCTTGGTTGGGATGCCATCCCCAGCCCCAAGGGAGGGGAAGTAACCAAAGGTCAGCTCCTCAGGAGACACCTGCCAGCACAGAACCAATGGGGTCAGGGCAAATCCACCAGGAAAATTTGGTCTAAGCATCCAAAGGAGCTCCAAAGGTATTTAGGGCCACAGTGCCTCCATCTCCTAAATCAGTGTGGCTTTATTTGCTCTCATATCTTCCTATGTGGGAGAGGTCTGGAGCTCCAGAGCAGTGAGACACTGAGGGCAGTGTGGGGAGAGAGGCTGAGCACACCCAGCTTGCTCCAAGGCACATCAGCCAGGTGGGCTTGGGCAAGAAGAAAAAGGAACCTCAACTTACCTTTGTTCTTCCTCTAGTTCTTCTTTGGACATCATTGACTTGTACTGGTTTCCCCTTAGCTTCCCAGGACTGTATTTAAAAGAAAATGTCTCCTCTGCAGCTGGAGAGGGGAGACAAAAAAACAGCAAGAAATCTGTGAACCGGAGACCTCCTGAGAGCCACAACCCACAGCAGTGGGGTTATTCCTTTGGGTGCTCTCTGCTCTGCTCCTGCACCCCAAATACTCTGGCCACTCCAGCACCTTCCCTGAGTCAGCTCCAATCTGCAGAAAGGCTGGGCACTGCCAGGGAGGATCCCAGAGCAGAGCCAAGGTGCTGCAGGAGCCTGGGCACAGCCAGGGAGGATCCCAGAGCAGAGCCAAGGTGCTGCAGGAGCCTGGGCACAGCCAGGGAGGCAGGGTGGATCCCAGAGGATGGCAGGAGCCTGGGCACAGCCAGCACTGCAAACAGTGAGGACTGCTGTGAGTAAGCAGCCTGCTGGAAACAGATCCAAGGAAATCCTACAGCCCAGGAACCATATGCCATTGTTCCCCCTGGATTCAAAGCCTTGCAGGCCCATCTTGGCTTATCAAGACATGCTAATCCTGCCCTGATTAACTCGCAGCATTTTCCACTTCTCCTCTCCAGGCTTGCATTCCTCCTCCTCCTCCCTCCCTCTGCTCATCCAGGGGCCCTTTCCCCAGCTTGGGGCTCATGGATGGTGCCACAAGCAGAGCTGTCCCAGCTCTCCTGCAGCCCTTGCCAAAAAGAAGATGCCACGTGGCAAATGCCAGGGCTGCAAACAGCCCCAGGAGCACCAACACAGCCCCTCTGTCACCAGCCCTGAGGAGAAGCCAAGGTTCCTTCTCTGGGTGCTCTCTCCAGCCTCAGCCTGTGCTAATTAGAGCAGCAAAGCTCAGACTCTGAGCCAAAGCCGATCCTTTTCCAATCGGATTTTGTTCCAGCACTATTTGCTCTTAAAAACCTCTCCCGTGCTTTATCTGCCTGCAGAGAGGGGAAAACAACAGGAGGGGAGCTCAGCCCAGGAGGAGCTGCTGCTGTGGGTGTGTGTTATCTGTGGGCTGCTTATCTCAGAGCCTTTATCTCCCAAGGACTGCAGGAATGGGCTGCTTCAGCCCAACCATCCAGCACTGGGGTTTGCTCATTCCCAGAAATATTTGCTGCTTCCCCAGACCCCCAGAGCCCTGGGGATGCTTCCAAGGAAGATGTTCCTTCATTTATCTGCCTGGCCCTGAAAAAATTGCAGGTTATCCACAAACCAGTATCCAGGATGACACCAGCAGGACCCTAAAGGGCTCCTGCACCCTAAAGGGGTGAAATTCCCCTGGCAGGAGAGGAACCCCAACCTGTGCACAGCTCATGGATGAACACAGGGAGCCCCTTCCCAAACTCTCCCCTGCAATTGTGGCCATATCCATGATTGTGTCTCCTCCTCCACCTGCCCAAATGAAAACCCCTCACACTCAGGATTCAGCATCAGCTCCCCTCTATTTTCTGATCAATTCTGCCCTTAAGGATTTTTCTCCTTGTGTCCAGTACCTTGGTTTTGGGATTTCTCCCAAGCTCATGCTCACATTCAGCTGCTGCCAGACCTTGGGGACCTCCATGTAAAAAGTAAGTCAGAGCCTGATTTTGTAGGTGGGGAAACCAGAGATCTCAGAAACAAGCAGTGCAAGGCTTGTTTCCATAATGATAAATACAATAACTATATATATAATATAATAAAATAACTATAAATACAATATAATAAAATACAACACAATATAATAAAATAACTATAAATACAATATAATAAAATACAACACAATATAATACAATAACTATAAATACAATAATAATAAAAAAAAACTTTTACCAATTTCCATGCCAAAAGTGTAATTTACTAATAAAATTTGGTGAGTTATTGTAAAAAAAAAAAAAAAAGGCAAAGTAAAAAACCCACTTAAATCTACTTTCTAGAAGAACCCCTTCAGATATTCTCTCTCAAATTTGCCCTAAACCAGGACACCATGCCTGGAGCAGCAGGAGTGGGGTGGGAACTTCCCAGAGACCTCCCCCCTGTTAATGCCCACATCTCCTCACTTCTTTACAGCTCCTGATCTTGGGGAGCTTCCCTGGGCAGCCCTGGTTGATTACTACTCAATTACTGATCTGGGGTGTTTCTCTAATCCCTAAATGCCATTGGGGCTCCCAGGGGATGCAAATCCTTTATCCAGCTTGGTCACAAATGGCTGAACAACACAAGCAGCCCCAAACATTCAGCTTGGCCATATTCCACTTCCCTGGGTGGGAAACCTTCCCCATGGGCAAACAAACAAAGAAAACCTGGCTAGCTGGAAAGAAGCAGTAATGCTGCAGCTTATCAGCACCTTGGGTGACCATAAAAGTGCATGGAAAGAAAATTCAGCTGGCTGCTGCTTTGGGAGATATTAGGAGAAAGGAAAAAAAAAGAAAAAAAAAGAGGGTGTAACATCCTGTTCCTTATGCTGCTGCAGAGCAGGAGCTGCTCATTACCTTTGTAAAGCTCCAGTGATTTCAAGGACAATCAAGATTGTTTCCCTCACATGGTTTTCTGCCAAATCAAGTGAGATTTGGGGTTTAGAGTGGCCCAAAAGGAGCAGTTTAGTTGCCACCTCCTCAGCAAATAATAAGGGAGGAGGGAGGCAAGGAAGGTCCCCATCTCCCTGCCCACAGGGTGAGATTACAAAAAGGAGGCAGTGTGTGGGTTTGGAAACCTCTGGCTGGTTTTGGAGCTCAGGAACTTTCTCTGTAGATTGAAAACAAACTTCAGGAAACACCCAGAAAAGGGGAGGCTGGGTTTTCATGTGGACAGGGAAAACACCAGAGGAACAGGAGGTGACCTACTTACTGAGAGCCTCCATGAGTTCATATTAAAGAAAACATTTGTCTTTCATCTCTGTGCCCTGCATTGCCAGTGCTGTGACCCTGAGCTGGCAGGGTGAGAGCAGCTCTGCCCTGAGCAGGCTTTGGTGTTATCCCTGCCCACAGGGAGGGAAAGCTGCTCTGGTGCCTTTGGTCACAGGGCTGGGGCATCTCCACCTGCCCCAGGGGCATCTCTGGGCTGAGTGGGGCCAGGACACACAGGAGGCAGTGCAGGAGGAGCAGGGCTGGTCCCAGGGCACTGCTGGTGCTCCCAGCTCCATCCCTCAGCCCAGGCCATGGATTTGCCCAGCTCCATTAGGAAATACTTCAGAAACAGTGGGAATAATTCAGGAGAGGAGCCAGGGCCTGGCTGCAGGAGGTGTCTAGGAAAGGCTAGCCAGTACTCATCACCTTCCCCAGCCCATTGTAAGGATGCCCCTGCAGTGCCAGGGCAGCCCTGAAACAGAGCTGGACCTGCAGAAGCAGACACAGAGGCAGAGCAGCATTGCTGAGCATCCATTTGGCAGAATACACCCACCAATCCTCAAAGCAGACCCCTCACAGCCCCCACAGTGACATCCCCAGCCACCAGCACTGTGAGGAAGCCCTGCAGGGTGCAATGAGTATATTTTGGGAGCCCTGTCTCCAAAGGAGCTTCCCCTGCCTCGCAGGAATGGCACCAGGATTAAAATTTGATTCTCTGTGGCATTAGGCATAATCCTCCCGAGCTGGGGATTGCCACCCAGCACCTTCAGAGAGCCAGGCAGAAAGTGGGGCAGGGAAGGGAGAACCCCCCAAGGCCTCCTGCTGCCCCAGCTGTCCCCAGCCACCCCAGCCAGGACTCCTGGGGACACCCCAGCAGGGCAGAGACCCCTCCAGACACACATTCAGGCACCATCTGTTTCATTTGCTTAGCACTGCAGCAGTTGTCACCCCAATTAGTCAATTAATCATTTTCCAATCAACTAATTGGCTAATCAGTTAAACGTGGCCCTGGCTAAAGCCCCTGGAGATTGTCCTGGATGAGCAAGGAGCTTTTGGAGCAGCTGCATCACAAAGCTGCCCCATGGCAAACAGCCCAAGGGCATCTGGGCAAGGGGCAGGAGTTTCCTGGAGGAAGGAGAGCATCCCCAAGCACTCAGGGCTCCAGAGCTGTCCATAATCTCCCTGCAGAGCTCTGGCTTGCTTGGCACTCACCATCCTCATCCTCTGGCTCTCTCACCACCAGCTTCTCGTTTTCTGAGTCCACCTCTTCCTCCTGGGGGAGCGAGAAACAGAACAGCCATGAGGAGAATGTGCTGTGCTGAATAACCCACGTTTGGTTGGGGCAGGGCTGGGGGGCAGAGCCTGGAGCTCCAGGGACATCCTGGGCACCCCTTCCCTGCCTCCTCCCAGGCACAGGACAAAGGGATGCTCACTAATGAGTGAGGTTCATTAGGCTGCTTGCCTCTCACTAGTCAGTCCCAGTCATCTGGCTGTGAAATGCAAGTAATCAAGGAGATATTAAGGTTTATCATCAAAGAGATATGAAGGTTTATAATCAAAAAGATACTGTTTATAATCAAAGAGATATTAAGGTTTATAACCAAAGAGATATTAAGATTTTTAAGAAGAGCCTTATGCCTGAGCACCTCCCTCCCAGCTGCACCCCTGCCACCCCTCCTGCCAAGAGCCACAGGGACTTCTTCTGTGTGCCCCAGGCCAGGCTTGGATGGGCTGTGCTGGCAGGAGGAAAAGGTGGATCCCCAGCCAGAGCCACGGGCCAAGGAGCTGCTCTGGAGCACAGGGACATTCAGCAGCCATGGGGGTCAAAGGCAGCACTGGGAGGTTGTGCTGGGACCCCTCCAGGAGCCATCCACAGCTGGTGTCTGGAGCAGCAACAGCACATTTTGGGGTTTTTTTAAAAGGCAAAGCAATTTTGGAAGTTTTGGGACTCCCTTCTACAAGATACAACAAACTTCATCAAGCCCAGAACCTTGTCCTGTGCAGAATCTCCAAGCAGTGAGAGAGGGGAGCACCCCAGCTCTGGAGATAAGACAAGGACACATGGCAGAGCCCCTGCATGAGGGATTTCCTCCTGCACAGCCCTGTGCTCCAGCTGCAAACCCCCGTGAGCCGAGCCCAGGGGGCACTGCTGTCACAGACATCTTTCATGAAAAATCCTTTTCTTAGGGTTTTTCCTCCTGAGAAGCTGAGTGGCCTCAGGAACAAAATGTAAACGTTGATTATCTGCTGCTGTGGAATGCAACAGGTGCATCTGTGATTGGTCTCATGTGGTTGTTTGTAATTAATGGCCAATCACAGCTCAGCTGGCTTGGACTCTCTGTCCGAGCCGCAAGCCTTTGTTATAACTTATTCTTTTTCTATTCTTAGTTATCCTTCTGATGAAATCCTTTCTTCTATCCTTTTAGTACGGTTTTAATATAGTATATATCATAAAATAATAAACCGAGCCTTCTGAAACATGGAGTCAGATCCTCATCTCTTCCCTCATCCTCAGACCCCGTGAACACGGTCACAACCAGCACCCAGGGGTGTCTCCTGCAGCCTCCTGGCAAAAGGACAGAGCACCTGCAGAGAGGGGAGGCTGCCAAGCCCCTCACTGCCAAGGGAACAGCTGTGGGGAAGGAGATTAAGGGAAAGGAGCAGGCAGAGCTGAGTGCTGGCTGTGCAGGGCAGAGCTGGGGAGGAGCTGCTGGAGCACAGCCCCAGCGCAGAGCTGGGTGAGTTTGTCATGGGGCAGGAATGTGCATTATTCACAGCCCCTTGGCCTCCTCTGGCCACCCTGTTCCCCACAAGGAGATGCACCAGGACCCCCACCCGTGGCACCCACGGCTATTTTGGGCCACACTTCCAAACATGGGCACTTCCCACTGGACACCCAGGCTGAGGACGGCTGGGGAGGCACCCAGAGGGAGGGCACAGGGAGGGGACAAGCCCAGGGCAGCAGTTCCCCATCACATCCATCTGCCCCTGTGAGCTGGGACATGCCCTGGGACACCCAACCCTCCTGGAGGGAGATTTCAGCCTCTTCCTCGCCTGGACATTGGGAACTGAGCGTTTAACAATGAGAGCAAGCAGGAAATTTGGGTGGCAAACCTCCAAGGAAGGAAAATAGATCTGCTCCAACACACTTTGACAGGAGCAGAGAGGGACAGGCAGGGGTGCCAGGCTGGCAGGCGACAGCAGCGTGCCAGGGCTGGCTGGGCACCCCTGCTCATGCCAGCCAGGAGCTCCCTGCAGCACAGCTCTTCTCTGCTTCAATGGCTTGGAGGCAGATGCCAGCACCTCCCTTTCCCCTTCCTCCACATCCCTGTCCCTCTGTCCTCCTGGGGCTGCTCCCTCTCCAGCTGCCTCAGAGGGACCCACCTCACTGACCCCCATCCCCAGGGCATCACAAACCTGCCCCTGGAGCACCATTTCTTTCTGTTTGAAATGGGCTGAGTCATTAAGAGGCCATGCAGCCTCACCAGGGAGAACAGCAGGGAAGCTTTGCCCCCCTCCCCATGGCCACTGCCACCCTGGGACAATGCCCCACCCTGCAGGGACACTGTGGGCTGTGCCACCCTCCCCAGGCTGGCTCTGCCTCCCACACACCTCTGCATGGCTGGAAAGTGCTTCGTGGCCCCGTGTGTCCTCTGTGTGCCCGAGGCCGGATCCAGGCGAGGCACCCAGTGGTGGGATCTGGAAAAGGACAAAAGCTTTGAGCACAAACACCCCTGAGCCCTCCCTGTGCTCAGCCAACCAGCCCTGGCAGCTCCTGCACACATGGACAAATGCTGAAGGTGGCCCATGGCCCACTTTGCCCCATACCTGTGCCAAGCCAGGAATGGCTGCTGGAGCGGGGAACCCCAGAGACCTCCCGTGCCTGGTCCTGCAGCC